CGTAGTCGTGCTCGACGGACATTTCAGTCGCTAATTAATGTTTCTTTTCCCAAAATCGTTGGCGGGGGGGGGGGGGGAGGAAAAAATTTTCGGACATACCATTTTTCACAAACTTCCGAACTAATGTACAGTAATTTGTACAATTTTTCAATAATATTTTCGTAAATTTATCAAAATTTTCCGCCTACAACTATTATATTTCAATAAATTAATATGTAAAATTGTTTGCTCAATTACATATTTTTTGCCCGACGAGCGTGTCGTTGAAATTGTTAAACTTACCCAACGAAACTACAATATTACAATATTGGGGGGGGTGTCCCCCCCCCCACCCCCCTGTAGACGGCCCTGCACAAACTCTAACCCTAACTAATAATAATCCTAACCTAACCCTACTCCAAGTTTGTTTCTAAACCAATCTTGAAGAAAAACGTTTTGACGAATGTCATTCTGAGGTCAGCGAACTGACCTTTTCCTTAAGGATACAACTAGAGACGCCAACATTCACATGAAAAGTACAAGGAGAAAAAATAATATCAGAAATAATAGTATGATGTTAATACTAATATGGTTGGGTATTAAACTCCGTGTAATAATTTATTATTTAATATGATGTAATTATAATATGACTGTAATTAATATGACTGTATTAGTATTACTGTAATGATACTAATATGACTGATTGGGTAACTCCGTGTACTAATTTATTATTTAAAAAACAAGAATGAAGATCAAGAAGTAACTAAATAAAAATAAAATTTAGAAAATGGGGAAAAAAGAAAAATTTATTATTTAACATGACTGTAAAAATTTGTTATTTAGTATGACTGTAATTATAATATAACTGTATTAATATGACTGTTATAATATTAATATGATTCGAGGATCAACAGTAATTGGTCTATGCTGTTGTGGTGATCCTGTCATTAGTTTATGTGCCAAAGTTAAATAAAATAAATGTGGAACTCATTAATAATTCATGAAGAAAACACAAACGTAATCAAGAACGTGATGGAGTTTGTATATCTGATACAGAAATCATGCTGATTTACATAAACTTTAAATTCAATTTTCTCACCAAATATCATTCATTTATTTGAAATTCCTGAAGAATACGACGTTTCACAACACGGCTGCCCACGATGTAAATCATTTATCTCGCATTGTTTTTGGTAATTACCTCAATCACTGGCTTTAATGGCATGCACAGGGCTTACTTGTGTAACAAAATCTACATCTACAACATTAGATGTTATTATCACTAACTGTCTACAATATTTTTTCCCATTCGAGTACATATACTGTAGTTCAGCATCGAATTGTGACCACTCTCACACATATATGTGAAATTGAAGATTCCTTACTATATAAGTAGTCTTTCAAACGACGTATTTGGGATTTTTCCATTGTCAATAAAGCTCATTTATGTTGGTTTTGTGGTTATTTATCTAATAGAGAGTTGTGATAGAGGGGCAATGTTCGAGCAGTAGCTGGTGTTCCACAAGGTCCTCTGCTCGGCCCAATAATTTTTTTATAAAGATATAAATTATATTTCTAAATATACTGTGGCTATTTTCTTTATGCTGATCACACATCCCTACTTGAAATGGTTGGAAATTTATCATCGTCTGATATTAAGTAGGGCTGCATGAAATGATTGATTGTGATCACTCTTACATATATGCAAAATTGAAGACTGCGTACTATAAGCAGTCTTTCAAACGGCATATTTGGGATTTTGCCAGTGTCATTGCAGCACAGATTAATGAGAGGGGACCCACTTTTGGTGTCGTAGTCGTTTATCTGATAGAGAGTTGTGATAGAGGGGCAATGATTAAGGTATCTTGAAGCTGGTGTTCCACAAGGTTTTCTGCTCGGCCCATTAATTTTTTTATAAAGATATAAATGCTATTTGATGATAACAATCTTTATTCAGGAGGCATTCTCACAGAAGTGATTTTCAGAATGGACCTGTACTATAGAACTAGTATTATACAAAGTGAAGAATATTATATCTAATCTATTTACATGTGGTCAAAAGTTAAAAATATCATAAATTATCTATCATTACAATAGTATACTTGCTGAACTGGTAAAAGTTTAAAAGTCGAGAAGAACAATAGTACATCATGGCCGACAGTCAAAAACTTTGGATTTAAATTGAGATATTGTCTGGGCATTTTGACAATCCGACTCAAGGTTGTTATAGTCATACACAGCATGATAAGTGACTTTATGTTTACCCCAATTTGACCTTGTCTTGGGTAAATGAAGAAAGCAACTCTGTCGAGTATTATAATTATGAATACTGCTATTATATACTAAATTAAAGTCAAAGTTTATGTGATTATTTAAACATTTAAAAATTAAGATGCATCGATGGGCACGTCTTCTTTCACTCAGTCGTTTCCATTTTAAAGTTGACAGAGCCTCTGTTGACGAAAAGGATATTGGTTTGTTCAATATAATTTTTGCTGCTTTACTTTGTTGGACTTGTAAATCGTTCATCAATGATATATTGTTTTTGTCACCCCATATCACATCCCCATAGTCAAATAAAGGGAGAACAAGGCAATTTCTAAATATACTGTGGCTGTTTTCTTTATGCTGACGACACATCTCTACCTGAGATAGTTAAATAATCACATTCTGATGACAGACTCGACGAGATCTCATTAACATTAAATGCTTGATGGAATTGCATCCCATGAAGTGCGGCAGCATCACGTTTTCAACGAAACACAACAGACTGATACTTGCTGTTACAGCTCGACAACTGGCTTCTGTAGCTCAGTTGGTTCGAATGCTGCACAAGAATTTTGGGGCCAATGGTTCGATTCCAGCCAGAGAGCTAGTATTCGCAACCGTTCCTAGTTAGGTCCAGTGTGTATATAATAGTGTATATATATATATATATATATATATGCTCACTTGGATTATCTACCAAACCCAGCATTCATCAACCAACATTATACTTAAACGCATTAATAATTGGTCTCCTAAAATGTTGAGGATACCTAGTCATCGTATAGTTCTGGATAGTTGCTGTGTATTTATGTACAGTAGCGTGCCTGATGGAAAATCGATTAAATTAACAGCACAAACGCGACTCTCATTACAATTGGGCATAACATACACGTCAAATCTCTCTTGGTCAAAACATATTTTAAGTATAGAAAAACACATTGTGACGTAGGCTGCCTAAATAAAAATTGATTGATTGAAAATATAAGCTTGGTAGGTCAACAGTGATATGTTTATATAAATGTCTCATTCGACCTTTAATGGAATATCCAGATATTATATGGGATGTACTTTTGAGGAAGCGAATATTTTAGAAGGAATAGAAATCAGCAGATATAGGAATAGTTTATTGGAAGAATTCTGTTGGGAGGATTTAAAAACTAGGGGGCATATTCATAAATTATCTTTGAACGTAAACATAGATATCTTATATACACTAGATAGCGCATCTCTTTTAGTAAAATTGAAGCAAAGAATATTCCAGCGGTTACCCCCATTTGAATAGATGGCGGGCCATGTTGGTCGTTCCCACTTGCTAATGAACGCTTAAAAACAACAATAACTTTCATTATTTGAATAGTTTAAAAACGTGTTTGGAATAGGGTTAACTTAATGTTTAAGAAATGGAATACATACGAATCTTCTCATTTCATGGGAACGACCTGAGACTGCAATCACGGCTTCAATTTTTGAATTGCAGAATAATTAGTTGCACTATATAGTGTATATAAGATATCTGTGAACGTAAAGTACAGCACCATAGAACAAAGATCCATATAGAAGGGCCACTTACGTCGGAAGCTTTGAAGTTTCTGTCCTCGCGCATGTCGCATTACGCATGTTGGCCGCCATTTTCCTAGCCAGTCAATGACATTTTCTGGCCAATAAACACGCTGTACTGGCTGGCTGCTCCGCCTTCTGGCCAGTAAACTGCATATTTTTGCATAAAAAAACGAGGACACGTTGCACCGCTGAGTGGCCCTTCTGTTACTTATCTTTATTCTGTGACAACACATCATCGGTTTTAATACACTCTTATAAAAAAGGGCTGTTTTGAGAAATTTTGAGAACTGTTCTTCGATGCTATATTATAATATAGCATTTGTAAATTCTGAACGCTGATGGGATTTTTTTCTATCTTTGTACACGCCCCTCGTGGAAATCAGCTTCGGTTGAACGGCGTCATCGTGTATAAATAAAGTTTTTATCTATCTCTATCTCTAACCGTACTGATGCGGATTATCCGGACGTAGACGTATGATGCGGATCATTGTCTCATGGATTAACTTCCAGCGGAGAAAACTAGACTATTAGGAAACCGTGGGTATATTCTCCCACGTGTTTAAAGGAGTTTTATAAATAGATGTCTCTTCGATTTACTTTAGTGCTGTGTGTTTTTATGCGCTTGACTATCTTGTAAACGCGTTTGTTGCGCAGTACGTTGTACTGAAGACTATACCACAACTCTTGACAATCTTCGTAAATAAATTCGACACAATCTCCCTTGATGAGCAACGCTCTTGGAGAGAATGTCAAAATATGTTTAAATATAAAAACCTCCGTGTGATTGAAAGCTGATCGCATTAAAAACTCTCCAGTGGTTTAAGGGTTGGATCCTCTGGTTTTCCTTGTTCAATAGAGATCAACCCTTAAACCTTTGTTGTCGAGCACCTGTCTCATGAATGTCGAGTGATTTTGTGTAGTTGTCAATAAATAAACATTTATCATTACTGTTTTTAGATTCACCGGCAACTTTCACACCTGTCATTCAATTCAATCCACTAAGCGGTAAGTATGTTGCCTTCAAGTTTGCGCGCCAGAAAATATCAACCATATTTCTGCTCGCAAACTATCGCGAATACCTTTCAAGACCAGCTCGTGAGTTTTACACACACCTCTGAAAATATATGCAACAGTGCGCTATTTTTAACCTAGGTAACGCGACTGTTATTGAGAACGGATATGAAACACAACCTGTCCAAAAGCAAAGCAAAGATACTGGTGCCACTGGTACGTGTAAATAGATTTTTCCACGTTTACAAAGACGCTCTAAACATAAATTTCAAATTTGCCTTCAAATTTGCGCGCCAATCATATTTCTGCTCGTAAACTACCAGGAATGCATTTCAAGACCAGTCCATGAGTTTTACCCACACCTCTGAAACACATACATACATACACACACAGGGACGCCGGAACGATAAAAAGGCAAAGGGGGGCAAACGCACACCAAAGGGGCACCTCTATAGATCCCGGTGAAGATATAAACCTCAATAATATGTTGACTTGCCAATGAAAGCAAACGCACTTAATCAGGTCACATTCAAGATCACACCTCATGATTTTGCCCAAAAAGCATCACTGGAATGTGATTTATCAGGTAGTATTTTACAACTCAAAGGGCACTTCTGCCCCCCCCCCTTGCCCCTCCTAGCTGAAGGCAAGAGGGGCAGCTGCCCCCCCCCCCCCCTCCCCAGTTCCGGCGTCCCTGTACACACACCTCTGAAAATAACGAACAGTGCGCTATTTTTAACCTAGATAACGCGACTGCTATGGAGAATGGACATGAAATACACCCGGTCCAAAAGCAAAGCAAAGCTGCTGGTGTTACTGGTGCGTGTTTCTTACTAAATAGATTTCTCGACGTTTACAAACTCTAAACGTAATTCTTAGATCTACATATTGAATATACACTAACAAGTTGTTTTGTCTTTTAGGTTTTAATAATCAAGCTTTTGCACCAGTCACACCCACAGCACCACCTCCCGAGGCCTGTAACGGTAGGTTCCCTTCGCGACACAGCGCATGTTTCGAACAGTTTAGAACTGATATTCAGCATAAATAAAGTTAGTTTAGTTTAGGTTTCCTCCTGTAGTAACACTGATCAATAAGAGATGATCCTTACTGGACCTCTAGGAAGAACAGTTTAGAACTGATAGAGCTATTCAGCATAAATAAAGTTAGTTTAGTTTAGGTTTCCTCCTGTAGTAACACTGGCTCAATAAGAGATGACTCTTACTGGACCTCTAGGAAGAACAGTTTAGAACTGATAGAGCTATTCAGCATAAATAAAGTTAGTTTAGTTTAGGGGTTTCCTCCTGTAATAACACTGAATCAATAAGAGATTATCCTTACTGGACCTCTAGGAAGAACAGTTTAGAACTGATAGAGCTATCCAGTATAAATAAAGTTAGTTTAGTTTAAGTTTCCTCCTGTAGTAACACTGAATCAATAAGAGATGATCATTACTGGACTTCTAGGAAGAACAGTTTAGAACTGATAGAGCTATCCAGTATAAATAAAGTGACTTTAGTTTAGGTTTCCTCCTGTAGTAACACTGGATCAATAAGAGATGATCCTTACTGGACCTCTAGGAAGAACAGTTTAGAACTGATAGAGCTATTCAGTTTTCTTAGAACTGGTAGAGTTATTAATTCTACAACAGTTCATTTAGTTTGGTTATTTTTCAATTTTTAAAGAAGACGAGTATGTGGTACCAAACTACCCCCGTGGCCCTGCAGGTAATGGTAGATTACCATCAGTCGAAACAAGTGGTAAGTGAGCTGTGTTTTCTTCGCTAGCGGAAAGTATCACAACAGAGGAAGGTGTGCTAACCAGATTACACTACTACAAAAACCCATTAGGGTGCATTGCGCCAAAATGCGCCCATTTTACTCTGTCTAATGCCAGACGATGTTACTTGTCCAGGAGGAAAGCAATGGGTTAATTTTAAACGAGTCAATTTACAAAACATTTTGTTTTTTCCCCCAGAAAGAGCACTTCCAGCAATAAAAAATAAACCACGGCTTCCTAGTATTGCAAATAAAAAAAGTAAGTCAGCTATATTAAGAACAAATAGGTCATGCAGAAATAGTACATGTTCTTGAATGTGGGCTACCTTAAAGTGATCTGATGGTGTACAGAACTCACTGCTGAGTTAAGCATGGTTAGATCATACAGAGGTAGTAGATGTTCTTGAATGTGAGCTACCTTAAAGTGATCTGATGTTGTACAGAACTCACTGCTGAGTTAAGCATGGTTAGATCATGCAGAGGTAGTACGTGTTCTTGAATGTGAGCTATCTTAAAGTGATCTGATGTTATACAGAACTCACTGCTGAGTTAAGCATGGTTAGATGATACAGAGGTAGTACATGTTCTTGAATGTGGGCTATCTTAAAGTGATCTGATGTTGTACAGAACTCACTGCTGAGTTAAGCATGGTTAGATCATACAGAGGTAGTACATGTTCTTGAATGTGAGCTACCTTAAAGTGATCTGATGTTGTACAGAACTCACTGCTGAGTTAAGCATGGTTAGATCATACAGAGGTTGTACATGTTCTTGAATGTGAGCTACCTTAAAGTGATCTGATGTTGTACAGAACTCACTGCTGAGTTAAGCATGGTTAGATCATACAGAGGTAGTACATGTTCTTGAATGTGAGCTACCTTAAAGTGATCTGATGTTATACAGAACTCACTGCCAAGTTAAGCATGACTAGATCATACAGAGGTAGTACATGTTCTTGAATGTGGGCTACCTTAAAGTGATCTGATGTTGTACAGAACTCACTGCTGAGTTAAGCATGGTTAGATCATGCAGAGGTAGTACATGTTCTTGAATGTGAGCTACCTTAAAGTGATGTGATGTTGTACAGAACTCACTGCCAAGTTAAGCATGACTAGATCATGCAGAGGTAGTACATGTTCTTGAATGTGGGCTACCTTAAAGTGATCTGATGTTGTACAGAACTCACTGCTGAGTTAAGCATGGTTAGATCATACAGAGGTAGTACATGTTCTTGAATGTGAGCTATCTTAAAGTGATCTGATGTTGTACAGAACTCACTGCTGAGTTAAGCATGGTTAGATCATACAGAGGTAGTACATGTTCTTGAATGTGGGCTACCTTAAAGTGATCTGATGTTGTACAGAACTCACTGCTGAGTTAAGCATGGTTAGATCATATAGAGGTAGTACGTGTTCTTGAATGTGAGCTACCTAAAGTGATCTGATGTTGTACAGAACTCGCTGCCGAGTTAAACATGACTAGATCATACAGAGGTAGTACATGTTCCCTACCAATGCATGACTTTTGTATAGCATGAGAATATGAGATAATTTCGTAACTAACATAAACTTACTTCCATTTTCAGAACGTGCTCCAAACTTGGAAAAAGGAGAAGATGCTTACGAAAACGTAACTTAGTTTAAAGAGAAGCACTTTTCACAAAAGACAAAGATTGACCTTTGCTGGATTAAAACATTACATACGCGGCGATTAAAAAGAGGTTATGAACAACATGGATGTATATTCGATCATTAATTATAATAGAAGTAATAATATTATAAGTAATCATTTTCATTGACATTATTTAAATCATGGGCCAATATTATCAGTAATGTTTCCAGGTTTGTCCACCTTTGGGAAACATGGCTAGGAAACAATGTTTCCAGGTTTGTTCACCTTTGGGAAACATGGCTAGGAAACAATGTTTCCAGGTTTGTCCACCTTTGGGAAACATGGCTAGGAAACAATGTTTCCAGGTTTGTCCACCTTTGGGAAACATGGCTATAGGAATCAAGATCTAGAGCTTTGAAAACGAAAGTGTAAAATATGTGCCATTTTAGATTTTATACACGACGTTTGTAAATTGATGTTAGATTAAAAAAAAATATAGATTTTCATACTGTAATGTACATTGTTTTTTTCTGGTGCTTTATACTTGACAGCTCTATCAGTTCTAAACTGTTCTCCCTAGAGTTCCAGTAAGTATCATCTCTTATTGATCCAGTGTTACTACAGGAGGAAACTTAAACTCAACTAACTTTATTTTTATTTTTTTTTATTTATTTTTTTTTAATTAACTTTACAATCATATTATATAAAAAATACACATACAGCTATGATTGAAGGATTGGACAACAACTAGAATCCCATACTAATTCCATCCATCTAACACTAAAACACGACATATTACGGACTACAAACTGGACAACGTAAATACTGATCTTACAGGCCTTTATGCAAGAATAAATACATAACTACACTACTGTGAAATTATTTGTGAGGTTCAGATTTGACCCCCACCACCACCAGCATCACTAGTTAGAAACCACTAACCACTTACATACAAACCAGGTCAGCGCGAGGTAGTGATAGCGGTAATGGAAGTCAAAAGTGAGTCCAGCCATTTTACACCAGATTTAGTCCTAACAACACGTATTTTACAATATAAACATGCGAGAATAAACACTACACTATCAAAATTATTTGCGAGGTTCAGATTTGACCACCATCATCACTATATACTGGAAAGCTCTATCAGTTCTAAACTGTTCTTCCTAGAGGTCCAGTAAGGATCATCTCTTATTGATCCAGTGTTACTACAGGAGGAAACCTAAACTAAACTTTATTTATACTGGATAGTTCTATCAGTTCTAAACTGTTCTTCCTGGAAGTCCAGTAAGAGTCATCTCTTATTGATCCAGTGTTACTACAGGAGGAAACCTAAACTAAACTAACTTTATTTACACTGGATAGCTCCATCAATTCTAAACTGTTCTCCCTAGAGGTCCAGTAAGGATCATCTCTTATTGATCCAGTGTTATTGATCTTATTGATCCAGTAAGGATCATCTCTTATTTACCCAGTGTTACTACAGGAGGAAATCTAAACTAAACTAACTTTATTTATACTGGATAGCTCTATCAGTTATAAATTGTTCTTCCTAGAGGTCCAGTAAGGATCATCTCTTATTGATCCAGTGTTACTACAGGAGGAAACCTAAACTAAACTAACTTTATTTATACTGGATAGTTCTATCAGTTCTAAACTGTTCTCCCGAGAGGTCCAGTAAGAGTCATCTCTTATTTATCCAGTGTTACTGCAGGAGGAAACCTAAACACTTTTGAGCTGTCTTTTAGCGTTTCGAACTCTTCCCCATGTGGTGTTTCCAATTTGACTCTAGTCTCAATACGGAAAGAAACCGGAGTACCTAAAAAACGCCTGTTGAATTTGGTAGAGTCAAACTGGAAGCATTCTTCTCACATGTGACTGAGGTGAAATTATAATGAGACAACTGGATATTGCAGAAATCAAACCTCAGTCACAGAGATGAAAGATACATGCACTGACCACTGTGGTTTATTCTTAAGCCTAGTTTGCATATGGTCGTAACGGTCGTAAAGATTGAGTCACAATCTTTCTCAACGGCCAGATTATAATAGTTTTCACTTGTAAACCCGACATATAAATCTTACGTATTCTCTATTTGAAATCACTCTGCCTATTACTGATCAGTGTTCAACTGTTGTATTTCAGCTGTTGAGAAAGATCGTGACTCGCGGCTAACACTCCGTTAAAAATTCACTACGTTTCTAGTGTTGAGACTATATTGTGTTTACACTATAACGGAGTGGTTTGCCGTAGTGTACTAACTACGGACCACTACATTTGCCACTCTGAATACAAATCAATTTCGTTAAAAATTCACTATGTTTCTTAGTATTGTGTTTATACTATAACGGAGGGGTTTGCCGTAGCGTATTAACCACGACGGAAGAAGTTATTTCCGCGGCAAACCTCAGAATGATATTTCGTCAAAACCTTTTTTTCAAAAGTGGTTTAGAAACAAACTTGGAGTAGGGTTAGGTTAGGGTAAGGATTAGGGTTAGAGTTGGTGTTTGGAGTAGGATTAGTGTTAGTAAAACCGTTGCTTTGTTACGTTTTGTCACTCTGAGGCCAGCGAAATAATCTCTTCCTTTAACAACAGACCATTACGTTTGGCACTCCAGATGCAAATCACTACGCTACGGTAAATTTGCCGTAGCGTCATCGTGTAAACGCGGTCTCGATCCTTAAAACCGTTACGACTATAAGGAAACCCAGGCTTAGTATTGTCTATTGTTCTTGCTTGTTTGACAAGTTGAATTATTGGACAGGATCATATAGGATTAACAACGCCTTATTAACACTCTTACTTTGTGTACATTATATTACCGTGGAAACTAAACAAATGCATTCTTGAATAATTGAGCGGCTGTGCCCACGCCAGAAAATATGGAGGAACAAAGACTATTATCTGTTCATTTTTCATGACTCATCAATTGTTGTTAATTATGAAAGAATTTCTATTTTAAGCTCGGTATTTCACAAAAGAATATTCCATAAAAATTAGAACTATTTTAGGTACAAAAAAAAAAGTACAAGTATAGGCATGCCTAAAAATTAAAATGTTATAGCATGTGCAAGCTTAAACTGAACGGCAAATACTCCACACCAGACAAGTAGAAAACTACTTGATCATGGTGGGATTTGTACTCAGGTAGATTATATATATTGGATGATGTTCTTCAAGTGATGTCCACACCAGACAAGTAGAAAACTACTTGATCATGGTGGGATTTGTACTCAGGTAGATTATATATATTGGATGATGTTCTCCAAGTGATGTTCACACCAGACAAATAGAAAACTACTTGATCATGGTGGGATTTTTACACAAGTAGATAATGTATTGTGTGATGTCGTACAAAGATCAGTAGTTATTCAAAATTCAGTTTAAAAACATGTTTAGCTTGTGACGCTCATATAATTTTTATTAGTATTCACAATTTTGTCAAAACAAAGCAATTATAAAGAAGTAATACAAATGCAAGCTTGTTATCACTACATGCCTTAAGTTATGACGCCAAAACCATCTGGGGCCGGTCATTCAAAACTTGTTTAGCGCTGACCCTGGGTTAAAATTTATCCCACTGTTTTTGTATTTGTGCATTTCTGTTTATCTTAAAACTTTATAAAATGAAACCGCTATTGATCCAAACGGATTTCTGGGAAAAGATTTCCATGTTCATTCTGAAATGCTTCGCTAAACTAGAACTATGGTGCCCAGCTTTTGAACAACCTGTCTCGGATATGAATTAACTCCAGCTTTTCACGGTTTCAACCAAGAATAGATAACAATAGCGTCCTCAGTACCTGCTAAGAATCAAAGTGCTGTGAGCAATGACGACCGAGTGGCGATGCTATTTATAACGATGGCGTCTCGATGAAGTGCATTACACAATTACGAACCAGTTGTTAGCTTACGGATCACACTTTTATGAGCAATTATTGACCGAATGGCGATGCTATTTATAAAGATGGCGTGCATTATACAATGATGAACCAGATGTGAGCTTAATGCAAATTCTCCCTAAATCCTTTCCCATTTAATAAGGTGGCCGGAGGAATCATTCATTAAAAGCTTTACACGTTTTTTTACTCTGCTGTTGTCCGACGATGAGCCAAGGTCAACTGTTCGGATTCTTCCATTTCTCTGTCCAAGTCACGTTCGAAGTCAGTTGATCGATATTTAGACCATCTTCTACGCAGTTCATTTCTTCTTCAGTTTCCGTCATTTCTGTTTCCTTGCATCACAAGCTCATTCTGTGATGTCTTTGACCTTGGTCACGTCTTAACCTTGCTTCCCTCACCTTCTCTACAATGTCTACCACCCCACATCTTCTGATCTCTTCATTCCACAATGTTTCTGACCAACTCTCCTTCATCTCTTCTTATTACGTGTCCATACCATCTCAACCTTGCTTCCCTCACCTTCTCTATAATGTCTACCACCCCACATCTTCTTCTGATCTCTTCATTTCATAATGTCTCTGACCAGCTCTTCTTCATCTCTTCTTATTACGTGTCCATACTATCTCAACCTTGCTTCCCTCACCTTCTCTATTATGTCTACCACCCCACATCTTCTTCTGATCTCTTCATTTCATAATGTCTCTGACCAGCTCTTCTTCATCTCTTCTTATTACGTGTCCATACTATCTCAACCTTGCTTCCCTCACCTTCTCTATTATGTCTACCACCCCACATCTTCTTCTGATCTCTTCATTTCATAATGTCTCTGACCAGCTCTTCTTCATCTCTTCTTATTACGTGTCCATACTATCTCAACCTTGCTTCCCTCACCTTCTCTATTATGTCTACCACCCCACATCTTCTTCTGATCTCTTCATTTCATAATGTCTCTGACCAGCTCTTCTTCATCTCTTCTTATTACGTGTCCATACTATCTCAACCTTGCTTCCCTCACCTTCTCTATTATGTCTACCACCCCACATCTTCTTCTGATCTCTTCATTTCATAATGTCTCTGACCAGCTCTTCTTCATCTCTTCTTATTACGTGTCCATACTATCTCAACCTTGCTTCCCTCACCTTCTCTATTATGTCTACCACCCCACATCTTCTTCTGATCTCTTCATTTCATAATGTCTCTGACCAGCTCTTCTTCATCTCTTCTTATTACGTGTCCATACTATCTCAACCTTGCTTCCCTCACCTTCTCT